CTTTTCATAGAATCATAGAATAATAGGACTGGAAGGGACCTCGAGAGGTCATCGAGTCCAGCCCCCCGCCCTCAAGGCAGGATCAAGCTCTGTCTACACCATCCCTGACAGATGTCTATCTAACCTGTTCTTAAATATCTCCAGAGAGGGAGATTCCACCACCTCCCTTGGCAATTTATTCCAATATTTGACCACCCTGACAGTTAGGAATTTTTTCCTAATGTCCAATCTAAACCTCCCCTGCTGCACTTTAAGCCCATTACTCCTTGTCCTGTCCTCAGAAACCAAGAGGAACAAATTTTCTCCTTCCTCCTTGTGACACCCTTTTAGATATTTGAAAACCGCTATCATGTCCCCCCTTAATCTTCTTTTTTCCAAACTAAACAAGCCCAGTTCATGAAGCCTGGCTTCATAGGTCATGTTCTCTAGACCTTTAATCATTCTTGTTGCTCTTCTCTGTACCCTTTCCAATTTCTCCACATCTTTCTTGAAATGTGGCGCCCAGAACTGGACACAGTACTCCAGCTGAGGCCTAACTAGTGCAGAGTAGAGCGGCAGAATGACTTCACGAGTTTTGCTTACAACACACCTGTTGATACAACCTAGAATCATATTTGCTTTTTTTGCAACAGCATCACACTGTTGACTCATATTCAACTTGTGGTCCACTATGACCCCTAGATCCCTTTCCGCTATGCTCCTTCTTAGATAGTCGCTTCCCATCTTGTATGTATGGAACTGGTTGTTCCTTCCTAAGTGGAGCACTTTGCATTTCTCTTTATTAAACCTCATCCTGTTTACCTCTGACCATTTCTCTAACTTGCTAAGGTCATTTTGAATTATGTCCCTTTCCTCCAAAGAAGTTGCAACCCCACCCAGTTTGGTATCATCTGCAAACTTAATAAGCGTACTCTCTATCCCAATATCTACATCATTGATGAAGATATTGAACAGTACGGGTCCCAAAACAGACCCTTGCGGAACTCCACTTGTTATCCCTTTCCAGCAGGATTTAGCACCGTTAACAACAACTCTCTGACTACGGTTATCCAGCCAATTATGCACCCATCTTATCGTGGCCTATCTAAGTTATATTTGCCTAGTTTATCAATAAGAATATCATGCAAACCTAGGGCAGGGGACTGGAGGGTAGGAGGGGATAATAAGAAGACGGTAGGAGGGGATTGTGATCTGGGGCAGGAGATTGGGGTGCCAGATCTGGGAAGGGATATGGGTGTAAGAGAGGGACAGAGGGTTTGGGTATGCTGAGTGGGAGGAAGAGGGCAGAGAGTTGGGACAGGAAAAGGCTGGGGTGCCTGAAGCAAGCTGTGACCAAGAGACTTACCTGCCAGCTGCCAAACTAGCCTGCCTGCCTTCAGAGCTAAGGCTTTCAGAGCTTAAAACATTTCTCAGCCAGCCAGCCTGCCTGGTCATGTGTTTCATTGAATAACTGAGCCGAGGAGAGGGGGCATGGTCAGAAACCAGCCAATGGGATTATGCTGCAGGCAGGCGGCTCCTGAAACTTCCCCCCTCCCCTCCAGTTTTAAAACAGAAGCTGCGTTTCTGCATAGCATGTGGGGCTACAGGGCAAGCAGGGGAGCCTGCCTGGGGCTCCTCGCTTCCTCCGCGGGCTGTATTTTGCCCAGGCCTGTGCTAGAGCTTTAAAAGGATCTCATTTTTGCTATATTCTGGATGGGAAAAAAAATTGGAACCAACTTCCAAGGCCTGATCCTTTTTCTGCTCCCCATCCTGGTTTTCCTATAGTCTAATATTTGTATTTTATTTTATGGAATGGTCACTTTGCACTGAAGAAGAACCTGCTAAAGAGCTGTTTTGGAAATATTCAAAATGACTGAGACAAGAAGATAATAAAAATGATTGGAAAATAGTTTGTGGCAGGATAGACAAACCAATATAGCAAGTTGGAAATAGGCTGAAGAAATAGATGGAGAAGTGAAAAAAGACTAAGGGGCACATCCTTGGTTGGTGAAAATTTCACCAGCTGAGGAACTCTTGGTAGAAGTTGAAAAAAATTACAGTGAAGACTGTAGCCAGCACACAGTTAGCTTTTTTTAAAATTTAAATTATTACTAAGAAGAGTAAATGAGAAGCAATTTCTAGACAACATTACTAATAATAGGCTTTGTCTACAGTACCGGGTTTTTGCGCAAAAACCCATACGTCTACACTGGCATGATTTTCCGGAAATGCTTTTAATGGAAAAGTTTTCTGTTAAAAGCATTTCCGGATAAATCGCGTCTAGATTGGCAGGATGCTTTTCCGCAAAAGCACTTTTTGCGGAAAAGCGTCCGTGGTCAATCTAGACGCGGTTTTTCGCAAAAAAGCCCCGATCACCTTTTTCACGATCGGGGCTTTTTTGCGGAAAACAGTACTGTGCTGTCTACACTGGCCCTTTTGCGCAAAAGTCTTTCGGAAAAAGACTTTTGGCCAAATGGGAGCAGCATAGTTTTTCCGGAAAAGCACTGATGATTTTATATGAGATCGTCAGTGCTTTTCCGGAAATTCAAGCGGCCAGTGTAGACAGCTGCAAGTTTTTCCACAAAAGCGGATGATTTTGCAGAAAAACTTGCCAGTCTAGACACAGCCATAGAGCGTCCACACCTCAAGCACGTTTTTGTGCAAGAAAAGCTTCAGTTAATTGACACAACAGAGAGCGTCCACACCTCAAGCATGTTTTTGCGCAAGAAAATCTTCAGTTAATTGACACAACAGAGGGCTTTTTGCAGAGTAGGTATACCTCCTTCTACGAGGCATAAATCCTCTTTGTGCAAGAATTCTTGCACAAAAAGGTATGTGTGGATGCTCAACAGAGGTTTCTTGTGCCAAAAAAGCCTATCAGGAAAAGCACAGGTGCACTGATGGCTATTTTCTGAATGGCAATCAGAACTTTCTTGCGGAACAGTGTCCATGCAGTGTGGACGCTCTCTTGCGCAAAAGCACATCGCTAGTGCAATGTGCTTTTGAGGTGTGAATGTGCTTTTGTGCAAGAAGTTTTTGTGGAAGATCTCTTCCGCAAAAAGTTTCTTGCACAAAAACCCTGCAGTGTAAAAGCCATAGAGATTTCCCCCAAAGAGTCAGTTTTGTCATTTGGGGGATCACTAGAATTCAACTTAAACCTGTCCAACACATTATCAATAAACTACAACCTATACTGGAACAGGATACTAAACTCCAAGAGGCTCTGGGAGACAGACCCATAGTCTCCTATAGACAACCACCTAACCTCAAGATGATTCTTACCAACAACCACAGGACATACCACACTAATACCAACCCTGGAACCTTCCCTTGCAACAAACCCCGTTGCCAGCTTTGTCCACACATTCACTTTGCTGATACCATTATTGGACCTAACCAATTGAGTTATAAGATCAAGAGCACATATTCCTGCTCATCCAGAAATATAATTTATGGAATCATGTGCCGAAAGTGTCCATCTGCTATGTACATTGGACAAACGTCTCAGACACTTCGCCGAAGAATCAATGCCCACAAAACAGATATTAGACAGAATCACAAAGAAAAAACAGTTTCTTGCCATTTCAGCCAGAAAGGGCATTGTCTCAACGACTTGATTACCCGCATCCTGCTTGAAAGACCTTTTCACACCAGACTTGAAAGAGAATCCTCTGAACTGTCATTCATGCTTAAATTCAACACTTTACATCTCAGTCTAAACGAAGACATTAATTATCTTACCCATTACAAAGATAGCTTCCCCAATTATCTCCTCTAATATCATTAGCTCACAGACATTTACCTCCCCTCCACCTCCTTCTGTTCTGAAAATCATAGTATAGCCAAAAACATTTTTAAATATAGGTTTACAACCAAATTAGTGGGTAAAGATAATGCAATGGAATGTTGATCTGAAATTATATTACAATTATATTGAGGTGGAATTGTTCATCTGTTGAAATTATTGGTTTTCTATTATCTTTTATATGATTTTAAACACATAAAAAGTACAAGATGATTGTTTAGTTTATATTGTAGAGAGATCTACAGCATGTGCAATGACTTCAGTTAAAAAAAAGTGACAAGAATGAGCATTTTATTCTGTTGCAGATATAAATATCCAAGGTTACTATTAAGCCAATTCTGAACAAGTGTTACAGTGATCATGGCTACCAATGGCTCAAAGAAGAGCCACCCAAGCTGTTGATCAGTAGAAAATAAACAGGATTCCTGGCAATACATGCAGTCCCCGGGTTACGTACAAGATAGGGACTGTAGGTTTGTTCTTAAGTTGAATTTGTATGTAAGTCGGAACTGGTACATATTGTAGGGGAAACTCTAGCCAGACATTTCTCCAGAGCTCAGTTTTATTCTCCCATGCCTCACTTCCCTCAGTCCTTTATTCTCAAGCTGAGGTGTCTGCTGAGAAAAGCCGCTCCACGTCTCCCTGGTCTGCTGGGGGGAGGGGGGAGGAGGGAGAAGGGACGCTAGCTTCACGTCTCCCTGGTCTGCTGGGGGGAAGCAGCTAGTGTGGGGTTGCCTCACCCCGTTTGTAAGTAGGGATCCGATGTAAGTCGGATCCATGTAACCTGGGGACTGCCTGTACAATCATGGAACCAGCTCCCATTTGAGGAGGTAATTTCCTTTCAATAGCTACAGCCAAATGCAGATTTTAGATCAAGATGTTCATAAATGGGTTTCTAAATTTAGACTGCTAAGTCCATATAAGTGGCCTGATTTCTCTAAAGCAGTGAGCACAGAGCTGTTAACACTGAAGTTATTTAATTGAAGGGTTAAATAGACCTAGACATATGGCAAGACCTTTTTAGTGATGGTCACTAACTTAAGAGTGTACCCCAAACCCCAAGTGTCACAGAGCCTATTACTTACTATTATTTTTTAAGCCAGGGCATGCTTAAAACCTTTGTGGCAGTTGGGCTCCATGTGTAGGTAGGAAGAGTGGACTCGGAGGCTTTTTCTTAATTTTCAGCCAGTGTAGTTTTCCTGTGTTTTGTATAAATGTACAGGTATCTAGAGATGCCAGTTGGTGCTTTCAGTTAAGTCCACAAAATAAGTGGAACTTAGACTTTTTATTATAGTTACATCACAGCAGGAAAATCACAAGATCACCTTCGTTCCTTCTAAATCAAGAAGGACAGTCTGTCTCTTGCTGACTCTCAACCATGCATGACATCATGTTAGAGGGCACTTGACCTGCACCAAACAACCACAGTCCTGCTAGTGAAGGGGGCAAGGACAGGCTGAAGTAATGATGTGATGTATTGCGAAAGTACGCATTGGAAAGGGCTCTTCTGCTGCAATGAGCCAACATCACCTCCTTTAGCACATTGCCTTGGTGGTTATTTGAATAGGTAATTTAAACCAACCTGCTATACTGTCTCAGGCTATTATCAACTGTTATAACAACTCGAGCCTTCATAGTCCTGGAGTGGGAGACTTCCAATAAATCCCTCAGAAAGTGGTATTCATGCTTTAATTTATAATACTCCTCCTTTTGATTCCATATTGAACCAGTTAACCACTAAGAATGGCATTCTTCACTTTTTGCACTAAACACTGGTGATGGTGCTGGTACAGCATGTGGTGTTAAACAGCTGCTACAAGCCACCTTAGAGGTGGCTGCCTTTCTGAGCCCGGGGAAGCCAATTCTCTGGGCGTGACCAAACTCACAATCTTTAGCTTTACTCCTGTGAGGCTATTGCACACATGCCAATTTATCCTCATCTTTTTCTTACGAAGCTCAAGACTCCCTCAGTTGAATAGTCTATAGAGCAGACATAGACAATGTTTGTGCTACCTTTGAAAGTTCATGATCTAATATATTTGTTAGTTTCTAAGTTGCTACTAGACTGCTCATTTTTTAAAGTTGCAGACTAACACAGTAGGTCCCTTTGAGACCTAAAAGTTAGGTGCTCTTGGAGTGGGAATAGGTTACTGAACGTTCTCAAGGAATGGATTAAAACATGCAGGCATTTAAGAGCTTTAGTGCCTTTAACATTTTTTAGAAACTTGCCATATATTTTTGCCTAGCTAACAACATTCCTCTGTAAAACAAAACATAACGATCCTTGTTACAAAATGCATCAGCACTTTGTAATGAACTCCTGGTACAAACTCCACAGGATTACTTAAGGGCTGAAAATTTATGGTCTTAAAACAAGTAAAATGATTAACTATCTGCAGTCAAATAAATGTGTGAAGTTTATTTAATCCAAGGCTGAATTTAGAATTACCAAAGTAAAATACCACCACTGTAAGCTAAACTCTTATAAGAGCCAAGATGGCTACGTCTAAACCGGCATGATTTTCTGCAAATGCTTTTAACGGAAAAGTTTTTCCGTTAAAAGCATTTGCGGAAAAGAGCGTCTAGACTGGCATGGACGCTTT